TCTTTTTTTTTACTGTGAAAGCTCATTGATGCAGGGTCAGCCACGCTGACAGCAAAGGACTGGTCATGGGCAAAGGCAGGCAGCTTTCCCGGGAGACTGATCCTCACGCTATTTTTTTTTTTTTTTTTTTTTTTTTTTTGTATTTTTTTTGTATTTTTCTCTTTTTCTTCTTGTCTTGATAATGAGTTTTATTTTTTTCTGGTTGCTGCTTGGCACCTTGAAAGTAAGTGGCTGATACTTTGGATGCTATAAGCCCTTTTCCCTGCAAAAGGGTTGGGCAAACTTCATCCCACGTAGAGTTTGAGGTACCTTGTTCAGGCCGGTAGAAACAGGGAATTTAAAAACAAAAAAAAAAGATGGACAGAGACATACCAGAAAAGGAAAAGACCCGGGGAACGCTAGGGGAAAAAAAAAGAAGGACTCGACTCCTCCCACGAGCTGTCAACCCACAGACAAAAAGTTTGTAGGGGTACATTGCCATCTCCCTCTCTCCCTCCTGTTCGTTCAGGATAGCCCGCTCGCACTCCGCTTTTTTCCCTTTCATGCTGGGGGAGTGGATATGCGACCGAACTAAGTCGTATGCACGCAACAAGCCCACACACACACATCCCAGTCCCCGTCCCCTTGCCTGTCGGACGACACATGCGCCAGCTGGGATAAGCCAAGGTATAAATATATTAACCGGACATCCCGCCCGCGCCCGGCCCTTTGGTCTCGTCCCAGCAGCAGCAGCCCAGCCCAGCTCCGCCCGCCCGCCGCGTGTGACGAGTTCCAGTCCCGTCCCCGCCGTCGACCCTGTCTGTCTGTCTTGTCTGTCTGTGCTGCGAGACAACCGGGGGCAAGTTAGAACTGACACGTTCATGACAGGAACGCCCATCGTTCCTTTTTAAAACTCCCCGACGACCCGCCCAGCGATTCAACAGCTCACGCTGTAGAACACACGCTCACATTCCCATCCTTTGTCGTTCCTTACTTCTGCTGCTCACTCGAGCAGTCCCACCTCCCCAGCCATGTCATACTCGTGGATAGGGGCGCCAGCCCAGTTTGTACGTTTTTTTTTTTTTTTCGTCCGAAACCCTCCCTTCGTTGTTTTACCTGCAGGCCGGTAGGTTGTTTCTCGCGGCTGACCCACGGACAAACAGAATGGCACCAATGCCGACCTCGGCGGCGACTCGGCCAAGGAGAACCTCAACCAGTGGTACCAGTCGGGCGACCAGGCCTTCATCCTGCTGGCGTCGGCCATGGTCCTCATCATGGTCCCCGGCATCGCATTCCTCTACTCCGGGCTCGCGCGCAGGAAGTCGGCCCTGTCCCTGATCTGGGTCGTCATGATGTCCTTCAGCGTCATCATCTTTCAGTGGTACTTTTGGGGCTACTCGCTGGCCTTTAGCTCCAAGACCACAAACGGCTTCATCGGCGACCTGCACAACTTTGGCCTCATGAACACCCTCGGCAAGCCCTCGCAGGGCTCGGTCCTGATCCCCGAGCTGCTCTACTCCTTCTACCAGATGCAGTTCTGCGGCGTCACCGCCGCTCTGGTTGTCGGTGCCACCGCCGAGCGCGGCCGCGTCGTTCCCGCCATGGTCTTCACCTTCTTCTGGGCAACCATCGTCTACTGCCCCCTGGCGCACTGGGTGTGGAATGCCAACGGGTAAGGAAGGAATTTTTTTTACCGCAGCATAGTGATAACCAAAGCTGACTCTTTCAACAGCTGGGCGTTCAAGTACGGCGTCCTCGACTACGCCGGCGGTGGCCCCGTCGAGATCGGCTCCGGCATGTCCGCCCTGGCCTACTCGTGGATTCTGGGCCGCCGCAGCGAGAAGATGATGCTCAACTTCCGCCCTCACAACATCTCCCTCATCACCCTGGGCACCATCCTGCTCTGGTTCGGCTGGCTCGGCTTCAACGGCGGCTCCGCCTTTGGTGCCAACCTGCGCGCCGCCATGGCCTGCTGGAACACCTGCCTGACGGCCATGTTCGCCGCCATGACCTGGACTCTGCTCGACTACCGCCTCTCCCGCAAGTGGTCCCTGGTCGGCTGGTGCTCGGGCACCATCTCGGGTCTGGTTGCCGCCACTCCGGCCTCGGGATTCATCCCTCCGTGGGCCAGCGTCCTCCTTGGTGTTGTGACTGGTGTCTGCTGTAACTTTGGCACCAAGGGTATGTGCACTGGGTCGACTTGTCCCTTGCCTTCCTTTTTCGGCCACTTTGTCTAACAGTGACTCGTCACCCACCCCTACAGTCAAGTTCCTCCTCGGCATCGATGACTCGCTCGACGTGTTCGCTGAGCACTGTATCGGCGGCATCGTCGGCCTCATCTTCAACGGCTTCTTCGCGGCCGACTACATCATCGGGCTCGACGGTGTCAGCACGGGCATCATCAACGGCGGTTTCCTGAACCAGAACTTCAAGCAGCTCTACATCCAGATCGCCTTCATCTGCGCCGCCTCGGCCTACTCCTTCGTCATGTCGGCCGCCCTGGCCAAGATCATCGACGTGACGCCTGGTCTCAAGCTGCGCGCGGACGAGAAGGCTGAGCTGCTCGGCATGGACGGTACGTGATAATAGCCCCACTTGCAGTGAACAACTTTTTCTTCTTACTCTTACTAACGTAAAACAATGTTCTTTCAATAGATGGTACGTGATGACATCCTCAACCTGCAGTGAAAAGCACCCCCTCCCTTTTTTTATCGCTTGACTGACTTGAATGTCTTTTTAGAACAACACGGCGAATTCCTGTTCGATTACATCGAGGTCCGCAGAGATTACCTTGCCTGGACACCCCCCGTAACAGGGCCCAACGTCGCCGTCGTGCCCCAGCTGGGCGTCGAAGGCCACCAGGCAATGTACGACGAGATCGTCAACGGCCGCAACCAGACACCCAATGGTGGCGCCCCTGAAAAGATCGAAACCGAAAAGAGCTCGGTAAACAAGACGCCAGTCGAGAAGAGCTCTGTCGACAAAACCTCGGTCGAGCGTCCTGCTACCTAATCCATGCCACCCCTCCCGTTTCAAGGTATTTACATCGTCTTTCTGGCGCCGTTTGTTTTCTTAGCCTTGACAAAACATTTCCCTTTCCGCGCGTTTGAGAAAATCTGCTGTGTTTGGGGTTTAGATCGTGTTGGTTTTGCTATGTCCCAGGACGGAGATTAGAGGAGGCCCTCTGTCGGGGTTTCTGTCTCACACCCACACCTTGGTATATTTTCCTTGGATCCTATTATTGATATTACAGGCCGCCTGTCTGTCTGGTTTCTGCAAAAATATGGATAGGGGAGAAAGGGAGGACAATAGCACCCAAACCCGCCACGCCCTTTTGCTATTCTGGCGCATCTTTTCCTTTCTCTGTAATAATACCCAACATAGGACTTCCGTCTGCTACTGTCTACCCATTTACACAAGCGCGCCTGTCTGTAACGAAGTTGTCCAAATCACGAGCCGTGACCAGGAGGGGTTGCTTTAGCCCGTTTTCCTGGGATGGCCATTTAAAATGCGGGAGGGGATGACGGCTTTTGGCGCCCGCAACATTAGCCCTCTGGGGACGGCATACTGGCTGCCATCGCCAGGCCGGAGGGGTGGCATCGGACGGCCGCTTATGGGAGATGCCGGCGAGCTCTCAGGGGACGCGTCCACGTCCTTTGTGTTCCAACATCCTTCTGCTATAGACCGGACTTGGGCAGAGTGCCAGCATGCGGCTCCGTAATATATTTCGAAGACATTGAAGAAAGGAAATGGCCTAGGCTGTCCGAAGAAGGGTCTTGTCTACAGCCATCTCAGCGATCACTTCTAGGCTCACCGACAGCATGGATCCATCATACTCTTTCTAGTATATCTGACCGCCGCGTGTTCAGCCTTGACCACCTCACAGGATCGATCTCATAGTGAAGCGTAAAATTCCTCGAAGTTGAAGTATGTAAACCAAAGCCGTACAACATCTAAGAGGCACGCCGAGCGGTCCCGTCTAGGGTGTCGCCGTCCCGGCACTGTGACCTTGCCGGGCCAGAGATATAACCATGATATCAACACGCCGCAATGATCGACCTACCACGCGGCCCGATCATAGCATTGCCCTTTACCGCTTCAGAGGATTAGTTTACCAAGAGCTCGCTCGTGTTCTGGCAAACGGATTCCCATGTGCAGCAAGTCCGTAGCTTCTGCTCCTAAAACCCGTTTGATAGATGCTACCGTTCTCTCGCTCGGCCCTCTCGACAGACCAAAAACTCCTCTGGAATGTCAGACAGGGAATATTCGGTATATCACCCTGGTTGGGCTGGGGCTCCCGCATTCGATGGCGAACACGTAACCCTTGCCGTCCCATATCGTGGCTGAAAGTAGCACCGATGACTGGCGTACATCCCAGTCACTTGGGCGGAGGTCGCAACATGCAAACACGACGTCTGCGGAACGCCTGGGTCAGGGCAACAGCGTCGGTTTATCGTGGTCGAGCCGCCGTTTCGTGTCCTTGCTTGATGGGAAGCGCACGGGCGGGCGTTCCGGGGTTTACTCCAATTGTTGTGTCGGTAGCTGTCATTGTAAGGCGAAGCTGTTGTCATGAGTGCGGCGGCCCCAACGTTTCATTCAAGCAAGAGACAATGGATTGTAGCCCTTGCCATGCTTATCTAGCTCAAAGCGAAGTCAGAAGGCGTCCCAAATACCGGCAGAAGCACAGCGAGGGGTACCATCATATGCCATGGAAAACGACGTCTTTGCGAATCGTGTGATGCCACCCACTACACCGACAATGCAGCGCCTCGCCGGCAGGGTGGTGGTCAGTGCAATGGTTGTTACCTTCGGTGTAGGAAGCAAATTGTAGAGGATGGTTTACAAGTCAGCGGATGCCATGCCTACAACAGGCCCACGCCATTGGTTGTTGCCACTGTCAAGACAAAGGGACCAAACACGGATAGGGTTTTTATGTTGACCACGAGCAAAATAAGCGTGCGCTTGGTGGACTCCGGGGTGTCTGTTACAAAAGTGTGAGGCACAGAAGTACACAAATGCGTTTCTCCCTCCCAGAATCGAACTAGGGACCTTTCCATGACAATTTGAAGCAATTGCAGTCGAACGTGATGAACCAACTACACCAAGGAGAGATGAACCAGGTGGTTGAATGCCGGGCCTGTGATTCAGAGCTTGTGAATCCAGCTTGACGCTTGACTTGGCGATATCTACTATATCCACCTGTATCTTGCTGACTTCGTGGGTTGGAGTATACCTAGGAGCAGGAGAAGGAAGGATAGGCAGAGAGATGGGAACGGACAAGAATGTAGGAATACGACGATTCTCGAATAGGGGCTGGGCCAGGCGAGATAGCGGCTCGATCCCAAGAGGTGCCAGGGGCACTGATGGTTTTTACCCGGGCTGCATTCTCAGCGCACGGCGATACCATCGATGGATTAAGCGTCAAGGCTGCTGCTTTGGCGGTTAGTTAGTTAACTCGTCATCACGGGGGAAGAGAGGCAATGTCGAATCTACATCTCGGGCTGGTACGAGTCGAAGGCTGGCCTGGGGTGACGGGCGCCTTTTCGCGAGGCTCCATTCAATGAGGCAAAAATGATTATTACTCGTGACCAGAGGGAACCTTTTACGGGATGGTCTGGCATGTCTGGTTTTCACAGGATGATGCATGGGCCGTTTGGATCAAAAGTACTTGTCGTAGTCAGGATGGGCAAAGGCGAGTGGGCGTGGCAAGGGTCTTCGGACAATTGACGCGTGCAGATCGGGCCGGGCGTGTTAATGGGCGCATGCGAATCATGAATCTCCTGGGGTTTGCAGGCAGCTTTTCCAGGCGAGATGTGGAAGGCTTGCAACGGTGAACTCGGTACCTACCCTGGCCAAATCCCGTCCGCCCCAAGGATGACGATGATGCTGCCAACGAACGCAACGCGGATGGGATTTTGGGTTCTTTGGACAGCTACGTGAGAACGGGCACTGACTTGCCGGTTGCGCTTGGTGTCTATCATCCATGGCGGAGGAGCCCTGCCTGGCCTGGCCTGAGGTGGCAATGACTATCGAGATTCAAGAGAAGAGGCCGTTTGTGTCCGCCAGACGAGCATCTCCATCCCAGAACAGAGGCGTGGGTTTGTAGGTATCTCCAGATCTAACCGGGGTCAGGGGAGACGACAAGCAATCCCATCGAATCTCCAGAAGCTCTCTACTGGGAGAGGGAATTACGACAACACCAGCGCAAGCTCATACATTAGGCAGGCAGGTAGCGATCTTGGTTGCCAAGAGGTCGACAGACCAACCACGTCTCTGTTTTGTCGACATGGCCCATCAGCTAGCTAGGCACCTGCTCGAGATCGCCACACCACTGCGTCGAGACATGGTAGGTGAAGCCCAGTCACTCCTAGCTCCAAGACCTGAAGCCGTCCAGCGACAGCCGTCCCGTTCCTGGTCTGTGAACGCTACCGCCATGCCTACGAAAAGCCTTCTGATGGTAAGCCCACCCATATTCTCTCCTGTTCACGGAGTAAGCCCTGCGGATCAGAATTGTATAGGGCAGTACAGCAGGACAGCAAGTGATTCGAGTCGGCAGGACATCCCTTCTCCTGAGCCCGGCGAGCAACTTCAGGCCTCACCTTGCACTAAATCATCGTTGGATTGCTCATCACCCGCAAAGGAAGTAAGTAGGTAGGTGTCACAACACGATAACCGGTCAGACATGTAAATAAAATCCGCCCCAACCGTTTTGCCCAACTGGACCTCGGAAACGTCCCTAGGTACCTACCTACCACCTTCCGGGCACAAGAGGGAACCCGTACCGTAGGCGGATAGGATGTCCCGACTGTGTCAAGTACATACCGAAAAAGCAGCAAACAAGTGCAACGCGAGTTCATCCATGCCCGATGCCGCTCTAAGCCCCTTGATCTTCTCGGAAGACGGGTTTGACATGCTCCCTTGATGTCCTGGTCGCTCTCTGATTAAAATCGATAACAACCCTTTGGCACACACGCACACGCCTCCTCGTTCCGTCATGCAGGACGGGAAGCCCTCTTGCGAGTATGAAAGAGGGAGGGGGGGTCTTGCCGTGATGACGAGACAATTGCCGGCAACTGCAACAATAAACACGAGAAAATGCCTGCCCATGCCAAATACCGCCCGGGAGCCAGCAGTAGCGCGCGCCCTTTTGCTTGGCCATACTTTCGTAGCCATCGTGCCATCATCCATTGCCGTGAGGGGATACCGGCAGCTCAGCCAGCCGTTCTAGGGGCCGGTGACTACAGGCTCCCGAGAAGGGTGTGTGTGTATACCTACGTATGCGTGTGGGAGTGGATGTCGGCCGGCGGCGGCCCCATGGTGCTATCTATCGGTCGGTTGCCGTGAGAGCGTCCCATCCACGGTGCGCCGCTTTCCGGAACACAAGCAGCAGCAGCACCTTGGTTGGAGCTCCACGGCTGCGTAGCGATAAAGAATCCCGAGCGTCGTTGCCGTTGCCGTTGCCGCTGGTCTTGCCGATGTTATTATGACTTTCTTTGCCACTTTCCATAGCGATTCATCACCGTGACGCTACTACGGCAGTCAAAAACGCAAAGTCACTCTTAGTTGGGCCGGCGATATCGGGCCTCCCGTCGGTCTGCCGCTGGTTCTCAGTCTCGACGAAGCGGTCCAGCCGTCCATCCGGGAAACGTTTGCCCCGGAAGGCCCAGAAAGGAGAGGGTTGGGTGGGCCAGTCGGTTATCAGTTACACGGCGCCAAGGCCCGCTGCGTCCCGTTCGGTCGATGAGAGAGAGCTTCGGTTCCCTCCGGCGATCGGATGCGAGAAGCAGACGGGAACCGGTAATTACGTAGGGCCTGTGGGCACCCAGGCGAGATTGACAGCTCATCGGAGGGACGACGCCATGCCCCCTTGGCGCCGTGGTACAAAGCGTACGTAGCGAGCGGGACGGACTGATCTCCTTCTCCCATCCTCAGAAGGCGTGTGGATGCCGGACGGAAATCATGGCCTCCGTCCACACGGCCTCTGCTTTTCCTACAGCAAAGTCGCATCCTGTCGTGCTCCCAAACAATCACACTTGCTGTGAATGTATCCTGGGAGATGGGCACCATGCCACGACTCTGACGGACGGGAGAAGTAATGGTCAGGGGTGGCCGAGGTAGCCGAGAGAACCGCTGAGGAGAGAGGGGGGTGGTCGGCATCCGGGCCCCTCCTGTGCCTGTCTGGCATGTATAGTAGAGGGCTCGTATCGCCATCCCCGGCCCGACGTGCACACCCTCTCCTCTCGTGGGTCCCGACCACCTTCGCAGGCCCGCCGAACCCGGGCCTTCTGTATGTAGTGGTGGGCATAATGCGCACTTGGCACGCGGCTGCTTGCAGTTTTGCTATATCCTGCTCATCTCGTCAGGATGGCGTGCGTGATGACAAACCGCGGGCGGCCTACGGAGTAAATGCTCCGCTCCGCCACTACCATTGCCGGGCGAGACATGAGCGGGCAGGCAGACGAGAAAACCGGGAAAAAGATACCAAAGCGGGTGGATTAAGTGGAGTTATTCTTGGAAAACGCTCCGTCGGCTCCAGAGAGGTCGGGCTCCGCCCTGGAATCGTTTTCACGCTCTGTGCCTTTCGGCCAGGCCCGCCTCGTCACACACAGGCCGGTACCTAGGCAGTCCGCACGCATCTTTTCTTCAGTCTCCCTCTCTCTTCCGGCCGAGTAACATACGAGTTCCTTATCGCCCGGCTGGCTAGCTGGGGACAGAGGTACCTAGGTGCCCACCACACCTTCTCGTAACCGCTTCCGGGAACTGCAGATAGGGATCGATACGGTCAGCGAATTGGCAGGCTGGGCTGCTCCCCTGCCCGTCAGTCGGGCCTTTTTGCATCGCGCTTGGTAACCCTCCCCTCACCACCATCACGCTTTTAGAATGTATGCAAACCTAGCAGAAGTGTCCCCGGCGGACGAGAACGTCGCGAGCGGTGAGTCCCGAAGGTGACACCTATCCACTGCGAGAGGTTCAGAGGAAGACATCCAACCACTTTGGCTCATCTGCCGAGCCCCGATTCCAGGAATAGAGCGGTTTGCCTCTATTTCCTGACTTGTCCTGCGCTTGGCTAAAAGTAGTTTGGGGAAGCGAGGTGTGTTAAAAAGCCTGATTTTCGCGACCGCTGTCGGGACAGACCGCCCACGGGTCACCCTGTATGTAGCATAATTCCCCCCTGGAGAGTGCCTGCCAGGCTCCGGGACGTCGGGTCTGGCCAGAGCCGATAGGAAATGAATTGCCATCCACCGCGAAAAGGACTTTTTGCATGGGAAAGATTCTTCTTGCTTTTTCTTTGCCATCCTGGGCGGCCGCAGATCCGAGCTCGATCAAGCAGGCCTCGCGAGCGAGTATTGTTTCCGGACCAGGCAGAGATCTGCATACCGCCTCGGGCCCCTGGCGTTTGTGGCTTGGGAAACGAGACGTTACCAGAAGACGACAGCTCATGGCGCGAAGCCTAGACCCTTGTGCTAAGGAGGAGCCTTGCAGCAAGCAAACAAAAAGCGAGGAAGGAGAAGACAAAAAGAACTAGCTGCAGCAAAACAGTGTTCGGGCTTCTTGCATGTGGACTGACCAAGTGCATCCCTCCTGGAGGTGCCAAGGCACACAGGCGCAGCATCTTGCGGCTGGGATGCTGCTCCGAGAACCCCACCTCGTTTGCTTTTTTGCGCAGCCAGGACGAAGGGCTCGGCGCAAGGTCCGAATGGACAGCCTCTAGCCGGGGATCAGTCCTTGGCGCCGACATGGTTGCCACTACCGCGAAGGCCGCTGCGAATTCAGGCAGCAGAGAGGGAGAGAGAGAGAAAGAGAGAGAGAGAGAGCATGTGCAGTGGAGCAGCAAAAAGCAAATCAGTGGAGAAATAAGACGGATAGAAACAAAAGCAAATGAGGGCCTTGTCTGACCCGGGCTAGGAGAGCAGATGCTGAGCCCCAGTTCGGTCAATGTACGCGAGCTGTTTGCTTCTCCACGACTGGGAGGGCTTATCTAGCCTCCAGCCTCTAGCCGGCTCGCCAGGTCAAAGGTGGAGTGGAGTGTTGGCTGTAAATCGCTGTTGCTCCGAGGCTAATGAATGGTATGGCATGACAAACATCACGTCGGCGGGTTTGATCGGGTCTGG